ATAATTATTTAGTTATATTTTATTGGACAATAATTAAGATAGTATTATTAGTAGATATTTTTAGATAGTTTTACAAGTATAATATTCATAATAAAATTATCATAGCAAAGTTAGCAAAACTATCATAGCAAAACTAGTAATACTATCATAACAAAATTAATATTATGACACTAGAAAAAGTAGTATTTAGATTATAACAAAAGTATTATTTGTAAAATCTTTAAAATGTATAAAAGTAATATATCTTAGTTAGAAATTAAAAAGTTAATTAATAAATGAATAAAATGAATAAAATAACTTAATAAATAATAAATAAACTAATGAATTAAATAATAATAAGACAAAATAATAATTTAAATATAATATTATTATGAATTAATGAGCTTTATTAATAATATCTTATTTATTATCATATATTTCTTATAATATTTATCAGTTATTATATAAAAAATATAATAATAAAATAATATATAATAATTAAGAAATTTTATAATTATATTCTATAATTATAAAATTTAATATTATTTAATAATTTTTTTAAAATTATTTATATTTTTTATAATAAATTTTTAAATAAAAAATTTAAATCAAACTTAAAAAAATTAATAAAGATAAAAAATTATATAATTAATTCTAATAATTTATTAAATTAAATTTAATAATAATATTATATTTTAATTTTTTATAATTAAAAAAATTAAATAATAATATTATTAAATTTAATTTAGCAAATATTATAGTAATTTAATATAAAAATAATTAAAAGTAATATATTAAATACTAAATTTATTAATAAAATATAATAAAATTAAGTTTTCTTTCTATAGTGATTATCAAAAGTAATACAATACTTAAATTTTTTACTAATTATAATTAGTAAAAAATTTAAGTATTACATTACTTTTGATAGTCACTGTATATTAAAATTTATAATTTTATTAAGTAATAATTTTTATTTTTATATCAAAATAAAGTTTAATAATTATATTTTAATATATATTTTTCAGATTTTTTAAATTTTTTTAAAAGAGTTATTCTAATTATAAAATTAATATAAAAATTTTTATTAATTAAATTTCATTTTTAATTATTAAAATTTTTGTATTAACTTTATAATTAAAATAATTCTTTTAGAAAAAATCTAAAAATCTGAAAAAATATATATTAAATTATAACTAATAAATTTTATTTTGATATAAAAATAAAAATTATTTTTTAATAAAATTATAAATTTTAATATAAAAAGAAAATTTTAATTTTCACTATATTTTATTAATAAATTTAGTCTTTAATATATTATTACTATATATAATATATAAATTTAAATTAAATTTTTTTAACATTAAAAAATATTTTAATATTAAACAAATTCTTCAAAGAATTAATAAATATATAAATAAATATAATAGATTTATTTTAATTTATATAAAACTAATTCAAAAAATTTTAATATATAATATTTTATAATTTTTTAAATCAAATTAAATAAATTATTATTATTTGAATAAAATCTGAGATATTATATATCAAAAATTTTATTATAATTTCAAATATTTTTTGAAACTTAAATACTTGATCTAAATCTATTAAAAATTGAATTTTATAAAATATATATTAGTATTTCTTATTTATTATTAAATATCTAAATATATTATACAAATAGAAATTGTACTTGAATATTTTTATTGAATAATCAATTAAGACAGCTATTTGAAATTGATATATGATTTGAAATTATTTAAACGTTTCAATTTATAATCCAAAATATCATAATTAATATTTAAAAATTAATTATTATTCAAATAATAAATTATCCTTTTTAATATCAACGAGACAGTATTGGTCACTGGAACTTGATAAACTTAGAAAAACTAAAACAAGCTAAACCAGAACTGGAAAGTTTTGGTCCAGTTTTTTAAACTTAGTCCAATGCTCAATATTGCAATAGTATATAGCTATATAAAACCACTCAATATATCCAAAGAAGTGTCGCAAGATTAATTTTTAGACTTCATCGGTAGCTATTGAATTTAATCTATATAAATAAATATGTGAATAAATTTTTTATTTAAATATAAGACAATCATGAAAAAATAATATTACTTTTGCTTAACAATCTGAATTTCCTCTTTTAATATCCAATCACGTATCGCGTTTCTTTGGTTATTCTTAGGCTTGCGATTTTTTCTATTGTGTACTAGTTGGTATTCGCCAGTTTTTGATAGTGGCCTAAAATGTATAATGTCGAACCTAGGAGATAACCAAGGTGGAGTTTCCGAGTCATTTTGTATTTTGTCGGTGACTTTCAACAGGTGATCCATGTCTATGGATTGCGTAGATTTGAAAAACTCCTACATACAAAAGTCTTTGTTATAAAGTAGAAAATATAAACGACAACCAATTCATGCAGAAACTAAAATACAAACGATTATAGCTTTCTTCTTTGTAAGTTGTAATAATGCTTCTCGCATCACTACGAAATACGCTACAACAAAATAATGCAGCATCGAAGGCTCCTCGTTCGAGAAGAAATGATCCCATAATCGATGCCAATCTTTCTTATTCAAAATGGCCGAGAAACTTGATAAAAGTATAGGCCATAGACACTGCTAAAAATGAACCGGAGGTAAAAACATGCAATTAATGTAATTGAAATCATTAATAACTTCTATAAAAGACAGTAAAGCATTTTGATAATACCTCACCAAGGATTATTCCACATTGATCAAAATGATTATATAAGGACTTGTCCCAGTGTTCCAATAAATTACAAATTATATTAAGAAACTGACTTGGTGCTGTCGGATAATCTTCCCAACAGTGTTGGAACCAATTCACTATTTTGACGGATCAATTGGTGTTTTTTTCCAATCAAACTAACGATAACAAAAGAACAAGAAAAATTAAGCTTACATAATATCGTCAAGATTGATTCAAATCCAAAAATATCATCATTATCCAAGAATATTTCCATGAATGGAAACATTATGTTTGGTATCCAATCTAAGACCACTTCAGGGGGCAAACCCCATTTAATTAATGTTGACAAATACCTATATAAAAATATAGATTAAAAAAGCTAATAATGACTTGAATATTTTAATATGATTCTTACAATTCCATTTTTGTGGCTAATTGTAGATGCTTCGGATCCTTAACGGAAAACTTTTTGGATAGTTTCTCTTTAACTGATGGTTCTAAATCTTTTTTAATAAGGTTATTGTAGGCATCCTGGTTATCAGGCAAATCAAGTAAAATACGCCAAATTCGGATTCTATATGAGAGTAAATGCCACGTAGTCAATGCGGTTATAAAGTTAAAAGATTAAAAAAAAAAAGAAAGGCATCTCCATATAAACCTATGTTTCGTAGGATATTCTCCATATTGTTTTAATTTTTCAATTAATTTTTCTCTTCTTTCTTCACGTGAAGCCGAAGACATGCGCTTATGTTATAAATGATTATTAAATCAAAATATTTATTGCAACAAAAAAATTTGAATATATACCTGAATTGTTGACACTTCAACAGTTACTGCTGAAGGTTTTTCTAATGGCAATTCATCTTCTAAATTTAAATTAACCAACGAGCAAAAACTCTTAAATTAACGTTTATTAATAACCTACTTAAATATATTTATTTTACTTTGTTCCTTTTCTTTGGTAGCTTCTTTTTTTGGTGCTTCGGGGATATCTACCGGCTCCTCAGAAAAATTGCGAGCTTTTCTTACTTCATCCTTTTTGGTCTGACTTTCGAGAGGAGGGGAAGATGTAGTTGAACGCGGGTCTTCGATGGAAGTTGATGTTGATCTTAATGAAGAATCTCGATATTGATGTTGTAACTGAAATAGGAAAGTCGGATAAAAAAGAATGGCCTTCCAGATTTCAATATAATGATATTAAAAGCATTTCTCCTACAGTATCCGAGATAAGAACTTCTAGATCCCATATTTTTAAAATGGATTTTTCATCCTTTGTATTAGTCACGAGGAACTTTCCATCAGGAGAAACTTCAAATAATTTAACCTGGTCAAGAATAACAAATAAGCAATCAAAATAAAGAATAAAAATGTAAAAAAAGAGAAAAACATTTACAGAATGCTTAATATTGAGTTGATGGATATCTGATTCGTTCTGATAAATGTCAACTAATAAGAGACGACCATCCGTTGTAAGTATCAATAAATCCTACAACAAATAAAATAAGTTATGAGCAAAGAGTTTTGTGTACATTTGGCCATGCGGGAAAAATGATATCTAATAGCAACATTTTATTTTTACCGTGTCATCATTGATAATTTCCATTCGTGTGATTTCACCTCCTGAGATTGACTGAATACTTAATTCACGTAAAAGTCGTCGTTTTTCAAAATCCCATATGTAAAGCGTAATTCTGATTCAATTCAAAAAAAAATTTGATAGATTCAGTTAAAAAAAAATTTAAATCGCATTCTTAATAATAAAACCTACTTGCCGCCAACTATTATCAATTGCTCGTTCTTTGAGACTGCTATGACGCGACACGCCGTATCAGGCTTATTATTAAAACTGTAAATTAATGGGGTAGGGCGAGGTGGTGCTTGTAGTTTCCAAATAAGTCTAAAATTTGATTTGTTCCAAATACAGATTGTGTCATTAAAAAATATTGTAATTATATAATTTCCACTGGGTGAAAATAAAGCCTAAAATAAAATAAAATAATAAATCATAAAAATGATGAATTACACGTTAATAATCGGAAAGGAAGGAAAAATGCTTACACGTCTTAAAGCTAGACCATCTTCAAGATGATTCAGTATTTTCATCTTTGTCCAATCTACCATATTCCACAAAATGCCTTCGGATAATGAACTTGTGATGACTAAATGTTGCGTGGGGTGCATCGAGATATATTCCACAGGTTTACGATGAGATCTTGTTTCTGCTATTAACTGATGTGTCTCTATTGAGAATTATAATAAAAAAATCTATGATTATAGAATTGGGATAACCAAAAAAAAAAAACTGAATAAACAAACTAACCTATATTATAGCTTTTTAATGTATTATCAGTGAACGCTACCACTATTTCATTCCTTGAGAGTGGTGTGAAAGCAATCGCTGATATCGCAATCCCAATTTTCACCACTTGCCAAACTCTACAAAATATTAAGGGCACATGATTAAGCAAGAAATAATAATAAGGTATTTAATATAAATTAAGGACTACCTAACTTGTTCGCACCAAAATCAAATATCAACAAGCAACCACGTTGATCAGCAGCGGCCATCATTAACTTGCCATTGGTAGCTTCTGCCAACATGCTGACGCCACTTTTCAACGATGTATTACTATTTTCAATCTTCTTGATATCAAAAGGTGCAAAAGTGAAACAACCGAATGAAATTGGACGAAAAAATCCAACTTTTGAGCGAGAGCTTGGTGGGCGATAATCATTGATAATTTCAAATAAAAGTCTTGATTACAAGAATTTAACTTAATTTTATTATTAATTTAATTATAAAAAACGTATCTTATTTGATCAAAATAAGATGTTGTCTACCCATAGATTTCTGGTTCTTCGTGTCCATGTTTTTCAGATTCTGCGATTTGATTTTCTCTCTCATCAAGCTTGTCCCATATATGAGCTGATTTAATCCCTGCAACAAAGATTCTCTTAAGACGTAGCATTTAGGAATATCAATCTAATAATAATTAACGAATCTAAAGAACATTATAATATAAACTTGTGGCTTAAAACAATCGGTCTTATAATTTTAATTAATTTACGTTAACTAATTTACTATTATGACTGACATTATTCTATAGTAACAACATACATATTATTTACTTTTCATTCTCTTATTAGCAGTAGCAACAACAAATTCAAGTTTTTATCGGATTTTTTAATCTCTAATCTTTTTCTCCTCATGGAAATAAACTTTGTTAAATGAACGTGTGTCTTCATGCATATTGAGTTTCACGTGTATATACATAATAATATAAGTGAGTTTGATTTAGGTAATATTTTTGATGAGCCAATCAATTCCACGTAAAATTTAACGTTATTAACTCAACATGTCTTGGACTTTTTCCAGCGTAATATGTCTATTAAAGAACTTTGGACAAAAATAACAAAGGAAAAAAATGTCCACATTAAAAACACCGAAAAAACCAATGCAAAGCTTGAAAATATAATCAGGGATGGAATAAAAAAGTTACATATTATATGTGGTATGCGGTGATATTGAAATTACTTATGCTTTCTGCAAAGAAAAATTCTAATGGCATTAATAATAATTACCAGATTTTGATGCTACGATGACCAGATTCTATAAAGCCGATAAAAATGTTAATCCTAGTTCTCACACGATACTATCAGATGGTCACTTATCAAAGGCATTAAAACAAAAAATGAAAATACTCTCTAAGAAATATTATCCCTTGGAAATTGATCCTTCTTTAACTATAGCTGAGAAGGCTCCATTAATGACCGAATGGTGGGAAAAAGCGCATGAATTGTTGATCAATGAACGGATAACAGAAGATGATATTGTAAAACTTGCAAAAGAAACTCCAGTTGAAATGCGTCCAGGCCTAAAAGATATCATTTTTAGGTGTAAAGATAATGATATCCCTTTTTTGGTCTTTTCGGCCGGAATCGAAAGTAATCTATCCATTTGAGATTTATTTTTGAGGATACGTTATTCATTTTAATTCCTTTATGTTTAGATATAATTGAAGAAGTTTTACGATCGAAAAATCTTTACCATCCAAATATGCACATTGTTGCCAACAAGATGCTCCTTGATCCTTCGGAAGGCATTTTTAACAAATTTGAGGAACCATTAATTCACGTATTCAGCAAATCTGAGATTATGATCGAAGGAACTCCCTATTATTCTACTTTAATAGAAAAAAACAATGTCATATTACTTGGTGATTCACTAGGTGACCTAGACATGTCCAAAGGTATCAAACATGATGTTCGTTTAACCATTGGTTTCTTAAATGTTCGTGTTGATGAACTATTAAACGATTATTTAAATGCATATGATATCGTGGTGACGAACGACGGTTCAATGGATATTGTGAGTTGGATCTTAGAAAGTATGATAAGATAGTATTATTGTAACATGATATGAATATTGATCATCTGTCAAAAATAAAATTTCTATGCACTGGTTATTCGAACTACTCACTATACATTATGCTGGTTATTCCGGCTGGAACTTCGCTTTCGATATGTTTGAAATGCAACTAAGTATGCTCAGATTAGTTGATCAGCCCGGCAAGGCAAAACCGATACAAGAAAATAGAAATACCAAAAATACAGTTTGGAACAACTAATAAAAATTTCGAGGTCACATTTTTACATGTAATCTTGTCCCTATCCCTTGACCCTAATCTTAACATCAACCTTAAACGTTACAGTAGAATTTTGCGCCACAAACCTGGTGCAAACCAATAAGGATGTACAATTTTGATCAACCTGGCAAAGCAAAATCCGAAAATAATAAAAGATGTCTAAGCCTAAATTGGAGTACTAATAAAGATGAAGGAGATGACTTTGACTCTACCCTAATTCTAAACCTAACCTAACGCAGAAATTTTCGGGTAATTATTTCGGCTGCCACCTTTTCGAAGGTTATGCGAAATATTTACGGTAAAACGTGAGAGATACCGATCAAAAGATGCCTGAAAGCCTGTTTCAGATAAAGTAAAGGAGGGTTTGCATAATAGATCAGTAGATTAAGATAAATTTTTATGCACTTTTCTGATATTATTTTTCGTGGATTGGCAGCCAAGCGATTTACACCATTAAGAGAATTATATTCTGATAAATAGAACTACACTACTATGGTGACATCCATGCTTCCAGCCATGCTTTTATTGCATTCTGTTACGTTATACTAACGAATCACTGATAATTTTCGGAAACTTAATTTTTGGACGCTTTCTTGTTAAGTTAAACTTGGGCCTATACTGCAGACAAAGTAGTAGTTCACGTATAATGCATAGTTCTATGAAAATGTCTATTGTTGTTGAGAATGTTAATGATATACTAATATGAATAGATAATTGTGAATCAAGGTAAGAGTAGAAGGAAATTCAAGATATGTTTACGCCAGCCTGTAAACATTCTTGTTTGTAAAAGGTAGCCATTATGATTGCGTCTGGAAACTTGTCGTCAGAAATGGTAGATTTTTTTATCCTTAATCACTATACTACTGGTCCAGCAATTGTATCAAATATCTTGCTGAAGATCGAAGATCTGCAGTTACGATTGAATGGACGCGAAATTTTGATTCAAATAAAACGACTTGGGAATATTGTAAAACTAATTGGGGGTAAATTTGAATCTAAACAAGCTTTAAGCTCCTTTCTCTCGACAGTAAATTTTACTTTTTCGAGGGCGATAAAGTTTTATAAGGATATATGTAAATGTTTAAGGTGAAAATAGAATTTTGTATGTGTGATTTCGAGTTTCATTCACTATTGTAAAGCATTTTTTTTATAATGACTTTCTATTTAGCGTTTAACAATTTTTGATCCATTTATAGTCAGCCATATCTCTTATGTCAAGCAAAAATGATTTGTCATGAATCCGCCAATTTTAACCCTAACCTTAAAAATCAACCTTTAAACTTAAAATAGCATTTTCCGGACCATTTTTTATTTCTTTTAAATCTTATTTGTCTTTCATAATAAACAAACTCGGCAATTTTAAATTTGTGTCTATTCGATTACGTGGGTTCAATACATCAAAATAGTATAATCTCGGTCTGAACTGTTAAATTTTCGTCTTTGCAAAAGATTCGTGTTACTTAGAGTCGTAAGAATACGAAGCCTGCTATGAATATGCACGACGAAAACGCCATTATTCTTTCATGAATCTGATCATAATAAATCGATTCATATTAAGAACCAATAGCTCTTAAGCCATACTATAGATACTCACCTATTGAAAAAGAATTCATAGAAGAAGAGATTGAAAGAATGTTACAACAAAACATTATTTCATCATCAGATAGCCCTTGGTCAGCACCTGTAGTAGTAGTTAAAAAGAAAAATGGCAAACATAGATTCTGTGTAGACTATTGACAGTTGAATAAAATTACAAAAAGAGATTAATTCCCTCTACCTAGAATTGATGACTTACTTGATGCATTTGACAAAGCAAAATATTTTTCAACTCTTGACTTAGCATCTGAATATTGGCAAGTAAAAGTAAAATCAGAAGATAAAAAGAAAACTGCTTTCATCACTACTAATAGTCTTTATGAATTTAATGTCATGTTCTTGGAATTAAATAATGTGCCAGCTACTTTTCAATACTTAATAAACAAGATATTCAAATCTTATCTTGAAAATTTTGTAGTTATTTATCTAGATGATATTAATGTATTCTTAGATACTTTTAAAAAGCATCTTGAACATCTGAGAAAGATGTTTAATAAGCTTAAAGAAAGTGATTTGAAACTTTAATCAAGCAAATATCAATTTGAAAAAATAACACTCATCTTTTTAGAATATATCATCAATAAAGATAATTTGAAACCAGATTCTGCTAAAATATTCACTATAAAATAGTTTTCTAGATCAATAAACTTAACTATTTTAAGAGATTTTCTTATTCTATTAATTCAAATAATACAAGTCTAACAAAATAAATAAGTTAAATTATTAATAGTATTACTTTCTATTTGTAATAATAGAATATATAAGAATTCAATTAATGAATTTAAATAATTAGTTAATATTAATAATATTACAGATATAAGAAAAATAAAAATAATATCTGTTTATTTGATAAAAGTTACTATTATTTGATTTTAACAGAAATAATTCACAAATAATAATTGATCTGCTAATTAAAATAATAATAATAAAAATAATTAATTTTATAGATATTTTATTATCTAATTCAAAATAAATGCTCAAGTATTAGCTTAATAATAATAATTAAGATTAAGAGTACAAGAAATAAATAAAGATATAATTTTATATATAAAAGATATTTATATGCTACTTTAAAAAATTAATTTTATATATACTTATTCAAATATTTATTATATAAAGTAGTTTATGAAAGACTTAAAATCTAAGATTATTTTTCATGTAAATAAATCTAATTCTGATAATTTAAATATAGTAATTACAGAAGTAATTAATATTAAGTTTAGCTATAGTGATAACTAAAAGCAATAACTCAGAGGCTAAATTTACTAATAAAATATAGTGAAAATTAAAATTTTCTCTTTATATAAAAATTTATAATTTTAATAAGAAATAATTTTTATTTTTATATTAAA